CTTTACCATTGAGCCACAACCCCAGCCCCAAGCCTAGTTTCTTATTTAAGCTAGAATTAGGTTGTTTCCTTAAACTATCTTTCACCAGGACCTTCTTTCCCTTTTTCTCGTCAGTCTACTTTTTGTGTCTACAAATCATGATTAGGAATTATGGGCTGGGGTGTGGCTCAGTGGTAGCAAGCTTGCCTAGCATGTGTGAGGCACTGGGTTCAATTCTCAGGACCACGTACAAATAAATAAAATAAATGTCCATCGACAACTAAAAAAAATTTTTTTTAAATTATCAGGAATTACACAGTCTTCTTCTCTGCCTTTGAACCCAGGCAGCTGAGTACTGCTGTAGAAAATAGCACTAATAGCTGGGCACAGTGGCTCATGCTTGTAATTCCAGCCTGAGGCAGGAGGGTGGCAGGTTCAAAGCCAGCCTCAGCAATTTAGCAAGGCCCTAGGCAACTTAGAAAGGCACTATCTCAATATAAAAAGGGCTGGGGTAAAGCTCAGTGGTAAAGTGCCCCTGGGTTCAATTCCTAGTACCAAAATAAATAAATAATAAATAAATAAAGGCAGTATCAGCATAAATATATCTAATATACTTGTGTGTGTGTGTGTGATGCTGAGGATCAGATCCAGGGCCTCAAGCATGTGAGGCAAGCACTCTACCAACTGAGATGTATCCCCAGCCCTTAATATTGTGTTTGTCAGCTCTTTTGTTTATTTATGGTACTGGGGAATGAACCCAGGTCTTTGGACATGTTAGGAAAGCTCTACCCTTGAGCTACATTGCTAGCCCTCTTCCTTTTCCTTTTATGGTCCTTCTTGTGGTGTGGGGGCTTGATCTCAGAGCCTTTGCTTGCTAAGCCAGCTCTCTACCACTGAGCTACATCTCCAAGCTCTCTCTCCTTTTTTTTAAGTCATAAATTTATTTAGGAAAGCAGATACATAATCAAGGGTGAGTGTAGGCTATCTAAAGGGAGATTCATCTTTGGGGGTAAATACACAATCACAGCATTCGAGGGAAAATACTGGCCATCTTGAGAATGAGAAGCTTTTGGGGCAAAGTAAAAAATACATATTCAAGAGAGAATGCTGGCCATCTCCAGAGGGAGAGCAGCTTGGCTACTATTCTTAAGCTCCCTGCCTAATTCCCAACCAAAAACTCAACATCCTACTTTACAAAGAAAATTAATTGTCAGACAAGGACTCCCTTTGATTACTTACCCCCTAATCACAAACATCTGGGAATTTATCCATGTTCTGTTTTCACCTTCAATCTCAAGCAGGATGAGACTAATTGCTTACTKAGTTGGCTTCCCAACCAGTCTCACACTAATATGGAGGTTGGCACACAGTAAGTGCTCAACAAATGCTTGCTGAACTGGACTACTGTGTAATTGAACCGCATCTAYTGTGCTCTTATTGCATGTTCTCCTTTATCTTTAAGAACCCTGCTTTTTTGTTTATTACCATTCTGTTTGAATTTCAACTTTTATTTATTCTTTTTGCTCAGCCAACAAATATTCCTTATTTTCATTCTAAAACAAAAAATACCTTCCCACATCACTCATTTCTACAAGCCAGATTCTATCTCAACCAGTCTATTAAAATTGGTCTCAAAAGGTTAAATCAAATGGATAATCTTTGCCAGGCATGGTGGCACATGCCTATAATCCCAGTGACTTGGGAGGCAGAGGCAAGATGATCAGGAGTTCAAAGCCAGACTCAGTAATTTAGTTAGACTTTGTCTCAAAAAATTAACAAGGGCTTGG